GCACATCACCTAATATGCTTAATTGGTAGTAGGCTTTCGAGCCTATACAGCTTGGAGTAAGACAACATGCATGAAGAGGATGATGTGGACAAAATACTCATTTGCCTGATAATTCTGCACTCCCTGTACTACTGTAGGTTAGTTTTAAAATTGGCCCCTTAACTCCCAGTACAATGATGTCCACCCAGTGCTTTTAAATGTAATACTTGGGGTATTTTGAAAGCTTCTATATGTGACTGCTGTTACCTGGTTTATCATGGCACTGCTGTGTGGCTATGAGGAACCAGCAGCTTTGACATCCTGTGGATGAGTTCAGGGGTAAAGCCTTTGAAGACTATAGAGCTGATTGATGGGGGCTCATGATGCCATCTGCTGCCTGCAAAGCTGATTCTGTGGTTTGCTTTTCTGTCAGTGTACCAGGTGGAGGTGGATGCAGAGGTGAATGCTGTCCAACTGCCATGCAAAACTATAACTCACCTGCCTGAAGATGCTAAAGTGGAGTGGAGCAACAGTAAAGACAAGACAATCCACCTGTTTGAGAACTCCTCCGACCAGCATGACGAGCAGCACTGGTTTTACAGACAGCGGACAGAGATGAAGAAACGCCCGCTGAAGGCTGGAGACCTCAGTCTGACCCTGAAATATCCCACAGATTCAGACACAGACACCTACACCTGCACCGCCCGCAGCAGGGAGGGAAACATCCTGATGAAGAAACAAGTACAGCTCCATGTCAAAGGTCAGGACTGTACACGATACCAAAGACACGTGCCTGTCAGTGTAAACACCAGCTTCAGAGGATGAGTGAGACATCCTGATAGTGTTAGCAGCACAGGAAATGATGTGTGTTATGTGCATGAGTATCATTATCAGGCCTGCAGTAAACATCCACACACCTCAAATTTACTCACTATTAAATAATCAGCTGTTCCTTTGTGATCAGGTCCAAACACCGTTAATCTCATACATGTGATAAACACGAGTCACTTCACGACTTCTGCTGCTCCAGACTGTCTGTCATGGATGCTGCTGCTGTCTGATGCTGTTTAAATACATCAGGAAGAACTCTTTATGCTGTGATAATGAAATCACACATTGTGGAGTGATTAGTGAGGAGTACCCTGGATATCTGTGACTACCACCATCTACATGTGCAGATCGTGTGGAGCAGTGAGTGGTGAGGACCTAAAAGCAGGTGCAGGGAGGGAAAACTAACTTCTAATGAAAAGCGAGCTGTTTATTGGTGGAACATGATTGGAAACAACAGCCGAGGAACATGATTGGAGAAGAACAGACAAACTAACGAGGGACAAAGGAAAAGCAGAGATAGTATATACACAGAAGGCTGATGAGGGAAGTGGAAACACATGGGACGGACAGACATGACGAGACAGGGAAGCAAAACCAAACACACTGAACACAGGACAAGAGACTGTCAAAATAAAACAGGAAACACACTAAGTTGCAGACTAAGACACACAACAGGCTGGGGAGAAACACATGGATGCAGATGACAGACAGAGGAGAAAGGATGAAACACAAGGAGTCGAACATGGGAACAGAAAAGGGAGACAAGACACAAGGACATGACTAAGACCTGGAGAGTGAGACACACAGATGAAGACAACGGCATGAATGGAACCTAACAGAAAGAGAACATTAATCAGGGATTACAAATGATCTCAGAAACATAAAAATACTAAATAAACTCAATGGCCCAGCACCCTGACAGTGACAGTTTTACTGTGTTGTTTTTAAACTGGTCTGTTTGCTGTTAAACTGTCTTTGCTCTTCATGCCTGATTTCATGCTGCATTGTCCTCAGTCTGTCAGATGGAGGTGAAAGATGGGGAGGAGTCAATCCAGCTGCCCTTCAAATCCACATGTGACCTCCCCGATGACATCAGAGTGAAGTGGTGGCGAGATGACCCTGAACCAATGGTGATGGTCCACGTGTATCAGAACAAATCAGATCAGCCTGACAAACAGGACGAGGAGTACAGAGGCCGAACAGAGATGAGCAAAAAGCTGCTGGAGACAGGAAACCTCAGCCTGACCCTTAAACATCCAACAGTCAGCGACACGGGAAGATACCGCTGCAGAGTCGACAGCAGGAACATCTGGAGAGAGAAGACCGTGCTGCTCAAAGTCGGAGGTCAGTATGAAGGTAGACATCAGCTCACCTTTCCACCTGCATGTTTTAGTAACTTTATAGAGTTAAAAACACCAGATTCACAACTTTAATGGCCTTTTTGATGTCTTCTTCAATAAAGCAAATGCAGTTTTGTCTACTTCTGGTTGCACGTAGAAATATAGTGGAGACACAGTGAGATGTCTCCAAAGCATCCAACAGAGTCCATTCAGTTCAGTTTTATTTACATAATACAAAATCAGAACAGTCACAGGTGTGAGCGAGTCCTGGCACTGACATATATCAAGCGCTCGTTAACTTCTTCAGAACAAACTCCTTTGCACATTTTGGGTCTTTAAAAGTCATTTCTCAGCGTCGCTGGATACCTCAGCCCATAGCGGACTCCGTTGCAACTGTGAAGTAGATTCCTCACCTCGGTAAAGGCGGCACGCTGTTTACTCACAGCTTGGTTGAAGTCCAGCAGTACGGCAGACTCACCGTCTTCAGTTGTTATCACCCCAGCCTCGGCTGCCTTCCTGAGAAGTAGTTCCTTTTCTCTGAGGTAATGACATTTCACTACAAATGCCCTCGATGGCTGGTCATCTTGAGAAGGATTGGTGCGGAGGGTCCCGTGCACCCTATCCAGAGTCAGCATTTTTTCCAGACCAAGAGCATTTTTCAGCATTTCCGACACATATTCAGTAGGGGTGCAACGATACTCGTATCGATATTGAACCGTTCGATACAGTGCTTTCGGTTCGGTACGCATATGTATGGAACAATACAACATTT